CTCGATTACAATTCGCAGCGTTTTATATATTGCGAATCACGCTCGATTCGCTGTTTACCACGGGTGTTCGGTGGCTGCGTTGTTTACTAGCAAGACGTGATGTTCTTTCGCGTTTCTTTTAATGTTCGCGTTGTCATGCAATTGCGGTTTTTCTTGTAACGATATTTCGTTACAATTTCTTTCACTATTTTATGTACAAAGATGTATTAAGATAACGTTGTCAAAAATTAAATACTTTTTATGAAATATTTCATATTTTATATTTAGAAGTTGAGAATAAAATGTAAAATATTCACTTCTCGACGATTTTATTCTAGTTCTATTACTTTTATATACAGATAGATTAGAAAAATTCATTCTATGTTAAAAAAAATTATATAATTTTACTTAAAAGTTTCGATATGATCTTTATATGATTTTGAAATTGTCACGCAAGTATCAAACTGACAACTGACGCAAGTATCCCTTTGTGTCTCCCTCTAACCAAGCAACTTTTAATGGAAACATCTTTTTCGAAAAATCCGATTTTCCGAAACTTTTTTATGCAAAAGTTAAGGTGGGACGTCCTTTGTATGCATATATGTATATGTACAGGATGTCTCATTTTAAAAAACGCACCTCGATAATTCTTCAACGAAGCATTTTCAGCAAAAATATTTCAGACAAAAGTTATGTGGTTCAGTGGAGTACATAAGAAGGAATTGGTTTGACCTTGTGTGGCGCCGCCAAAGTAACTTTTTAGTATTCCAAGAAAATGCAAAAAAATACAGTACTAAAAAGTTAATTAAAAAATTTTGAAAAAATTCTCAGAGCTTTACGAGAAAAAAAAAAATAAACAATTTTTATCTCTTGCTATTTTTCGGTAAAGTTGATAGAATTTGAGTAAGAAATTATTGAAACAAATAATTTTGTAGATATTTCCGTAAATATTAAAAAAAATGGAAGTCGCGTAAAAAATGTTTTCAAACAAAAGTTATTGCTTCTTTATGTAGAGTAAGATTCTGTAATAAAAAATATATGTTTCTATTGCTATTTAAAAAGGCAAAATTAACCTTGACCTGACCTTGGCGGCGCCACGCAAGGTCAAATCAATGGTACCTTTTTATGACCTCCATCGAACCATATAACTTTTGTCTGAAACATTTTTGCTGAAAATGCTTCGTTGAAGAATTATCGTGGTGCGTTTTTTTAAACGGGACACCCTGTATATTCCTCAACTTGAGGACATTTGACATTGCGATATCAGTAAGGAGTGTTTCGTAATAACAGGAAAGTTCTGTAAACTACCCCTCTATATATATTTTTTATGTGCTTGTAATATAGTCTCACATATTAAAATTACAACATGACAATAGAATGTTATATCCTTCTTGAGATACTATTGCTGACGTGTTCTCCTTTTTAATACATTTAAACTACCAATGATCCTAAAACTAAATGCTGTGACTGTCAGTTACGTGATTCGGGCATTTCAAAAAAGTAAAAACAAGTAATAAGTCATAGCCTTTGAAAACCGCTCTGATTGTAAAAGTAATCCCGAACCCTATCTTAGATGTAGATTTAAAGTAACAATGAAAAATAATTACCCTCGATTTGATAGAAGAAAATTCATTCAAACAACTAAATTACTTGAAAAGTAATCATAATATCCTAATAATGAAACTGTATGATATTTTAAGTTTTCGCGATTTTTATCAATGTTTTCTTGATTTTCGGATTTGGCCCGCATGTTTCTTAAAATTTATTCCAACGTTTCATGAACATTTCAGTTCACTTCTTCAGAGAGCAGAATAACATTATATTATTTATTAACGAAAAACATAATAAATAAAAAATGCTTAATCTTTATAAAATGTATAAGAACTCCAAACAGAGAGGTAAAGCTTTCATGAAATATTTATTATAAAATATTTATAAACACATTAAAAGTTTCATAAAATATTTATCATACAATATTTATAAACACATTTTATACATAAACACAGTTAATATATTGCACTTTTTGTTTACGTATTATGCTTAGTAATATTAATAATAT